ACACATACGCCTACCACTGATGATCATATATTTTGTTTTTGAACAATTGATAGTCAACTTATTTGCATCACACCAGTGTACAACACTGTTTAAATGTTTGTTAATAATACGCAAATCAATATCTATTTTGTTATGTTTTTTTTTACTTTGCAACTGTTGCCAATGTGATGTGCAAACTGTATTTTGCAAATTTTTATACTGTAAAATACTTATTGTAGCTGGAATTAATTTTTACTGAAAAGACTTTTTGGGTGTTTTGTATGGAATTTATTTTTACTGATATTTACAAGTTGAATGTAAAATGTAGGAAACAGGTATATTCACTGGATTTTATTTTCACTGAATCATTCCTTCAGTGAAAATAGCGAAAATTAATTCCAAGCGAAAATAAAGTATTTTATAGTACAACATGACAGTGTGCATGTATATAACAAGCTGCTCTTGGAAACAGCAATTCACCTTCCAATGACAACATACCAGTTTTTCCATGAAATAAAATACAGGAACTGGATGCACAATCTAAGCAAGTTTGGGTGACTGGAAACACTATAACACTATAATTTCATTTGGCCTTAATTAGTATGAAGAAGATCACAGGGTATCAAAAAACAAAAAATTAAAAAAACAAACAGAAATGTATTTTCCCATCATAACTTACAGAATAGTATCAGAACTCTGGATTTTATCATCAGATTCACAGACATCACAGTCCAAGTACTAAGCATTGATTGGAAAGTCTTAGGGAATATATCACTGATGTATTTGACATAGGCCAGCTGAATTAGATACTGTTATAAACTGGTACTTTGTCTAATAGAATTTTTTTTCAACGGCATTTTAGAAATAGAAGGGTTGCCTTCACTGACATCACTGATGACACAGATTACACAGAGAGCATCTAAACTAACAAGAATGGGTTCTACAGATATCAAGAAATATGAGGTAAAATAAGTCATTCACAAATTCTGCTTCCATCAGTGAAAAATATGAGATTTGTTATACATACTTAATAGTATGGCATTTGTAAGTCTCCAAGTACATACAGTGAACCCCACAAAAGCAATAAGCTGATATGATGTGGATATTTTTCTCTCAAATACCAAATTTTATATTGTAATTCTGTGCGAAAAGGTATTCGGTGACCATATATTTTTTTAAACAATTTTGTGAACAGAGGCATAAAACAAAACCATGTTGTAAAAGTTATGGCAAGTCGTACCTTATGCTTCTTTCCTGTACATGTATGCCTGGCTCTGTCATATTGAAAAACTGTTGAGAATCTAGTTGACTCCCATGTGCG